CGGCCCGCCCCGCCGGGAAAGCCCGCGGCTCCCCCCGGGCCGGCCCCCCGGTGCCGCCACCGCCGGGGGAGAAGGGAAGGGGGGAAAGGGGGGAGAAGGAGGGAAAGGGGGACAGGAGGGAAAGAGGGATGTGAGGAAAAAGGGGAGAAGGAGGAGAGAAAGGGAGGCAGAAGGGAAAGGGGGGGCGGAGGGAAGGGGGGGCAGAAGGGAAAGGGGGACAGGAGGGAAAGGGGGGAGAAAGATGAAGGAAAGAGGGACGGAGGGGAAAGAGGGGAGAAGGGGGAGAGAAAGGGGGGGCAGAAGGGTAGGGGAAAGGGAAAGAGGGATGGAAGGGGAAAGGGAAAGAGGGACGGGAGGGGAAAGGGGGAGAAGGAGGAGGGAAAGAGGAACAGGAGGGATAGAGAAAGGAAAGGGGGAGCAGAAGTGAAAGGGAAAGGGGGACAAAAGGGAAAGGGGGGAAAGGCGCAAGAGAGGAACAGGAGGGAAAGGGGGGCAGAACAGGTGGGGAAGCCGATCCTGTCTTTTCCATGCCACTCCACAAGTGACAACAAGTTTTACACATTGGCATAAACCTGGAGCCGGGTTTCTGTTTGACTCCGGTGTCCCCTGGGGTTACCAAGCAGGGAAGTGTATCACCCAAGTCTCGCACAAGGTGAAAACCCGACCTGCTCTGTGGGCTTTCTCTGCAAGTGGCAAGTGAAAAAAAAAAAAAAAATACTGAGATAAAAATGAGAGAGGGGAGAAGAGAGCCAACAGCAGAGCTCGAGTGTTTGAGTTTCTCTCCTCTCACTAATAGCTTTGTCTGGCGATGAGAATTTGCTTATTTCTAATTAAAGCAGCAGTTTCAGCCCCCTTGACTCTCATCAGGTTAGTTTGCACTTGGTCTCCTGTAAAGAAGAGATTTCCTCCATGGGGAAGCAAGGCGCAGGGCAGAAGAAGTGTGTGCCATGATCCCACCCTCCCGTCAGAGCCGCTTCCCAGCCTGCTCCAGCCCTGCGACACCATCCCAAGAAACCCTGTCTCCGTCCCCCTTGACACAACAACCCTCAGACTGGAATTCTGTAAGGTGAAGTGTCCTTCCCAACTAAATGCTTGTCCCTTTGGGAAGAAACGGCACAGAGGGCGTGAGCGGAGGCCAAAAGGTCTCCTTGGTGCTTGGGAGGGCCGKGCCCACACACAACTGCTGCATGCCAGGAAATTCCCCTGGCAGCACTGTGGAGCTGGCGGCTTCATACGAACTAACAGGAAACGCTCAGTTTAAAAACATGCCTGAAGCCTGTATGCATTCCACATAGGAACCKAGGGGACATCAGGATGGAGGCTGCGATGGAGTCTCCTCCTGAACCTCTGTGCTCCAGCCAGCGACGTATGGTGAACGTGATGGCCTAAGCCTCCAGTTCACCAAGGCCCGGAGGCAGCATCTCTGTTGTGGGCAAGATCCCCACCCATCCTTAATACCTTTGCTGGCCACTCAGGGAGGAGCTGATGAAAAAGTCACTTCTTCTGAGGCCCAGGAGTGCAACTCTAGTTGATCTCCAGTGAACAGAGACACCTAGTAGAGGCGGGAAGCAGGAGAAGAGGAAGAAGAGTTGGGCTGAGTTAAAGGGGTGAGAACTCCACTCCCCAGTGAGGGTCTCAGCAGCACTTGGGGCCTGAAAGCAGAACCTCTGCTCCTTCCGACCTGCTCTGCCCACACAAACACGGGCTGTTCGAGCGACAAGGTCCTGGGGTGGGCAGAGCTGCGACTCCAAAACACATCCCAGACCTGGGCTTGTSCGGTTGCTCCAACAAATACTGTGTGTGACCCTCGTGTAAAGACCCTCTAGCAAACACTTATACTTCAGAGTGCACATGACTATGCCACAAAAATCCCCAAGAAGCTCCCTGCTTTGACAGCATGGCCTGCTAGACCCACAGACTGCAGTCCCACAGCAGCCCRACCCGTGGGCCCAATCCTTCCAACAGACAAAGAATTTGGGCTTCTACTTAGRTGGAAACAGAAATTTCAACTCAACCCTAATGTATTTTCCAACCTTGAGAGCAAATTTACATAACCTTACCAGTGACATTTTCAAACTGCATTTTGTAGATCCACTTCCAAGCCGCACGCGCACAAACAGTTCTGTGACAGTATCTCGAAACCATATGAGAGGAAACGCGACCACAGAGATTGTAGCTTGCAAACCCATGACATAAAAGAGCTCGCTTTGCTTTGCCCTTCAATTGTCCCCTATCAAAATGTTGACATTCTGCTCTGGAACAAGGCAGAAAAGCTGTGGGTACGTGACACTCACTGAGAGCGACAGGACAAACTGGCTCAGAGAGAATGAACATGACCAGGTACAGAGCCCTTCTAAACAATTCCAGATCATAAATACTATTGTATAGACCAGAAAAGGAGGGTTTTCAGCCCAGCTCAGAACACTTCCCACGGCCAGATTTGAAATAAGCTCAGAGCAGGATCTGTAAGCACTAAGAAACCTTAATTACATTTTCAAAAAAATCTCAACTCTCAAAGTCCACTCAGCCTGCTGGGCTCTTTGGAAAGACACACTCATGCACTGCACAGAAGAGAAGGGAGAGGAAGAGCTGGAAAAATCCTGTCCCACATTCTGAACTCCTTAACATGGAGTTACTCTGAAAATGTATAATTTCAGCCATATTCTCCCTTTGGCAAATATCACCTTAGTACAAACCCTACCATCCTGGCAAGTGGGAAATGAATCCCATCTAAGCTCAGATCAGAGAACAAACAGCTACCTGTTTAGGCAGGAGGAAAAACAATGCTATCCTACATAGCCCTTTTCTTATGGAAAGAATCCTTGGCTAAATAGGGAATTCTTATTTCGTCCCCCTGATAAAGTAGTCACTGAGACCACTGCATGTGATGTGGGTACATTCTCAGGGCATCTGATATGTCCTGGACACATTGTCACTTCTTCTCCCACCTGCTGCTCTTCATGACACGCAGGTGTCCTTCTCAAAGCACCAAATCCTCAGCTGGTTAGAAGAACRTTCTCACCACAAGCCACGAGGACCAATTGAGTGTCACCTTCAAAAGGGCCATCACTGGGGTTTGCTACCTGTTTCGCCTTCCCTCCTGAGCTACCTCCATGTTTCACTTRAACTAAGAAAAGGAGAATTAAAAGTGAACTATTTTCCCCCTAATGTTTGCTCTCCAGATCCATTTTAAACACCTCCTAGGGAGGGGGAAAGATAAGGGGTGTGAGGCTTGGCTCCCCTTGGTGAGAAAATCCTCTCTTTCAGGAAAAGACCCCTAAAAAGGGGCCCTCTGGAGCAGAGGAAGTGCTGAATTAAGGAATGCACACAAAGAAATATGACCATGAAATGTGCCATGACCAAGTCAGCCAGGAAATGAGCTTGCACTTGTGTGCTGGGCTGCAGCTGACTCCCAGGACGCTGCTCACCACCGTCTGGGTGCCACAACTCACTGTGTCAATACTGCTACGTCCCCAGAGCAGGGCAGGACCAAGTCTGAACTCATACATATCTGACGTGACTGCTGCCAGGCTGCTGCCTGCAATTATGGGGCAGCWACCAAGCAGGGAGGAGGCTCAAATTTGGAAGGAATTCAAGCCAGCACCTTCCAAAACACCAGCTGGTATTTTGTGGTGCCACGGACGACTGGATACATGAGAAATAGTGCTGCTGATGCCTCTGGCTGTGGAAAGATGGCCACCAGTTTTAGCAGTCCTCAAGGGACTTCTCTTGCATTAGCTTAGACTTTTGGTTGATAATTTAATAACCAAAATTTTGCCAGGGAAGGGAAGTCGGTTCTACAAAGACTGAAAAGGAAATGGGGAAGTGAAAATGAACGATCTAGGCGACAGCTTGCACGTCTCCAGGAGGTGAGCACGCCAGATCGCAGGAAAGGAAACCAATTTCTACTAACAGCTTGAAAGGAAGCGCTGAGTCTCAGCACTTGAGCTCGGCAACGTGGAGGCAGCAAGTTGCCTTGATAAGACCTGGGAATTTCCCCGTGCTCATTTTTACACTCACTAAGATCGCCAACCTCCCTCACAAAGAAATTCTCTGAAGGCCTGAGTCAAAACTCACAGTTCTGGCCCAGCTCCAGCGGGCAGCCTCCGCCTTGCACAATAATTTCTAGGAGCAACGGGTACAGGAACAGGGAAGAAAACATGCTGAGCASGCACCAGCACAGCGGCATTCACAGAATGAGGCAAGACTAAGAAGCAGCAAAGCTACATATGGAACTTCCCATACTGGGAAATGGAAAAAACGTCATAAGARCGTCTGAGATCATAATCTGACTTCCCATAGCCAGAAATATTCCACACCCACATGACTGATGTTCTTCTACCATCTCTCCACAAATGCTGGGTTTTCCTCTTGTCTCTCCTCCTCCCTTGTCCTCCTTCTCTCTCCCCCTTTGGAAAGGAGCTCTGCGCAACACCTCACTCCTTCCCTCGGGGGCAGCCTACCATTCCTCCTCTCCTCTTTTCAGCYGAGGATTTATCTCCTGAGTTCCCCCTTGCACCTCAGGGATTTTTAGCATCCAGTTAGTGACAATTCTCCCACCTGATGCCAACCTAGCAGGAAATCGGGGTCACACAGGGATCAGCAGGGAGCGAGGGACCCTGGCACCCAGTGCTCTCCCGAGGTAGAAAGACAGAAGCCACCACATGCCTGGAGAAACCTTCTCCCCAAGCCCCTGAGCCCCAGACCAGGGCAGTCTGTAACAGGAAGGGGCTCTGAGGGCATCTCACCACCATCTCGCCTGATCACTATCCTCCTCGCTGCTTTTGGCTCTCCCGTGCGGTCATCACTCGTGGTCCTGGAAGGACGACAGTGCTTGGCACGTGTCACTGTGCTCCAAAAAGCAGATCTTGACATCTGAGGGTTTTGAGTTGGATGCTCACGCAGGGCACCGACAGGGCTGCTCGCTCCAGCACAGCTGCATTTTGTGTCTTGTTGTGGGGCTTCCCCATTCAACAGCCTCTGACTTTGTTCTGCCAGCCGGGTACAAAAGCAGGTGTCTTTTAAATCCAACATTGTAAAACAGATGTTTGACTCAATCAACAGAGTGAAAGGACTACGTACCATAGCGCATACTTACATTTTGCTGACTAGCCCTTAGATCTTGTGTGATACTCCTGTGAGGGTGGCTTTTGGAGAGGTAAAACTGGGGCATTACATCCCACCTGATGTTCTCACAACAGCCTATGATTTAAAATATATATATTAATGACATGTTCTAATCCGACATGCGCTTCCAGCTTGAGAGCACCTGGTCTGCCCTGGTTTTCATGCCCCTCTTACTGCTTCGGCTGTAACTCACCCCGATCCTAGAGCACAATCCATCCCCAAACCGAGGGCCTGGAGGCCACCGAGAGGGTTAACGGCCACCGTGTGTGTGTGTGGGGGGGGGTTAATGGCCACTGAGGGGGTTAGCGGTCACTGAGGGGGTTAACGGCTACCGAAGTTGTTAACGGTCACCACGGTCACCGAGGGGGTTAATGGTCGCTGGCGGGGAGCTTAACAGCCACCGAGGGGATAAAAGGCCACCGAGGGGGGGATAACAGCCACTGAGGGGGTTAACGGACACCGAGAGGGTTAACAGCCACTGAGGGGGTTAACGGCCACCGAGAGGGTTAACGGCCACCGCGGGGGGCGTTAACGGTCGCCGAGGGGGTTAACGGCCGCCACGTCCGCCGCTCCTGCCGCGCGTCACTTCCGGCGCGCTGCCATGGCGGCGCAGTTCCGCAGCTACGTGTGGGACCCGGCGCTGATCGTGGCGCAGATGGTGCTGCTGCAGGCCGCCTACTACAGCTCCCTGGGGCTCTGGCTCGCCCTCCTGGGCGCCCTGGGCCGCACCGCGCCCTCCCTGCAGCAGGTCTTCAGCGACGAGGTAGGGACCGCGCGCGGAGCGGCCCCCTTGCGTAGGGCCTGCCAGTGAGGAGACCCCCACCATATAGATCCTTCCTCTTTAAGAGACCCCCACCATATAGATCCATACCCCTTAAGAGACCCCCACCATATAGATCCATACCCCTTAAGAGACCCCCACCATATAGATCCTTCCCCTTTAAGAGACCCYCACCATATAGATCCTTTGCTRTGTGGAGACCCCCACCGTATAGATCCTGCTCTGTGAGGGAACCCTCCCCATACAGATCCTTCCTCGTTAGGAGACCCCCCCCCCTATAGATCCTTCCCTTTGAAGAGACTTGGCCCCCCTCTCCCCATTAGTCCTTCTCCATCTAGAGACCCCTGAATTTTGGACCTTATCCATGCAGAGACACCCCTCTGATGTCCATCCTTACCCATATAGAGACCTTCCCATGTTGGACCTTCCCAGTGTATAGACAGCCCCCCCTGCCCCACCTCCATATAGGTACCTGGCTGATATAGACAGACATTTAYCCCTTTCTGTTCACCCTCCTGACACAGGTACCCCTCTATAAAAACAGATCTTGTTGTATAGGTACCTGCCAGTATGGACATAGACCCATCCATGCCCCAACCCGTGAGTAGGCGGCTCTCCCTCCTGTACAGAGGGTCCTTCCCTGTGTAGGTGTCCCCCCAGGTATAGGGACAGATGCCCCACTACTTCCAACCCCCTATACACCATACAGGTTCACCCAAGTCCCCCTGCTTACACGAATAACCCCTCTATATGGAGACAGCCCCCCACCTGTTTAGCCAGGACCCAGTATAGAAACAGAGCCGTTGCTTTGTGTAGGTACCTGCRCAATATAGAGGTTATAGAGGGCGAGGGCTGCAGCTCCTCCCGTGGGCTCTGGGGTGGTGCAGGGCTGCCCCACTGCGGCTGGGCCCTGGGATGAGCTTGGCTCGCCGCAGCCTCTGGCTTGTGCTGCTCTTCCTCACGGATAATCCATGCAGATTTTAGGCTTCTCCACGCCGCCCGGGAGGCTCTCCATGATGGCCTTTGTCCTCAACGCCCTCACCTGGTAAGTCAGCAGCTGCCTGGGGCTCTCACAGCGTTCCTCGGTTTCCAGCAGCCCCCGTGTCTTGTATTTGATCTTTGATGTTAAACTTGACTAGGATGACGCGATGCTAAGTAGCAGCGTGGCCTACAGTCATTCCCAAAACATCCCTGGAATCACTGTGCCTGGTCTAGCCTGTCTGCTGTTTCATGTCCCTTGCACAGGAGGACACTTGGGAATTGTTGGCTCTGAAGGGGACTTTCTGCCTCTTCCCTTAGGTCATTTCACTGCCTCAGTTTTCCCGCTGGGAATGAAATCTGCTTCTGCGAGGCTTTACTGGAAATTGGAAATAGTAAATGTCTGTAAACACTGATCTGTTAACAGTAACGTAAGTAGCCCCTGCCAATGGGCAAAGGTTACTGGGAGAGAGAGGAGGGAGAGCCCAGCTAAAAAAACTAAAAGCTCTTTCCCTTCCATCACATAATTGCAAAACTGTAAGCCATTTAAATCTTGCTGCAGTGGCTGTGACCAAGGTCAGAAACAGGCTGAGCTTAGAACACTTATTRAGTTTTAAAATAGCTAAATAATCAGCACTGGCAGCTCCTCTTAGCAGTTACCTAAGGAAAAGGGGCTCAAGGAGTTTGTTAACCTGTTGTTTTGCTTTGGCAGYGCTCTGGGCTTGCTGTACTTCATCCGCCGAGGGAAGCAGTGCCTGGACTTCACCGTCACCGTTCACTTCTTCCATCTCCTGGCCTGCTGGATTTACAACTCTCACTTTCCCACCACTCTCACGTGGTGGCTCGTGCACATCGTGTGCACGGCCCTCATGGCTGTCATCGGGGAGTACCTCTGCATGAGGATAGAACTGAAAGAAATCCCCTTGAATTCTGTTCCCAAATCCAACGTATAAACTTGCTCTGGAAAGAAACAAGAGACAGTAAGTCATTGTTTCCAGCACCAGAGCATCCAATGCCTGAAAAATCCCTGGAGAAGCACAGCAGGCCTGTCTTGACTTTTTCAGACCTTGGTGACTGCGTGAGTGTGAACATCTCTGCTGTCATCATCAGACAACGGAAGGAGGGGGAGCAGCAGTTTATTTTATTAACACAAAGCGTTTAACATGACTCTGCATTGCAAGGGTGCTCCTAAACTCTTCCCTCAGGACTGTTAAAAGGCAGGTAGCAAAACTTGATGCACAAGAAGTATCTGGAAGTTGAGAAACAGGAGAGATGTGTCACCAGTGCTGGGGTAACGCAGCGGTCGGCTCTTCCTGCAGCAGCGGGCACAAGGAGCAGCRGGGCTGGGAGCTGCTGCTTCCAGTTTGTAACGGGCTTGTTCTTCACTTGTGCTTTGGTTGGGGAAGAAAATCAAGGAAAGGAGTAGATGGGGAGAAAGAAAATACTTGTACTTATCCGAAACACCAGCTTGACCCTGAACAACCTGTACTTGTAGAAGGGTTTGGTTGCTGTTTCCATGTTTGATACACAGATGTCAGGCAGCAGTTTGCTGAAAAAACCTTTTGTAAAAATAAATATTACATTGCTGTGAGKGTGTTACATTTCTCCTGAGGAGCTGTTTCAGGAAACACCAGGGACCTCTGTATCATGGCAATGGGGAACAATGCAGCCAGAGGAGAACCTGGTGACTATAGGATGGCTACAGTTCAGGGTACRTAAAGCTTCCTACAGTAAATATTTCTTGTTTGTACTCTGAAATCAAGACAGAACGCTGTCTTGGGAAAGCCAGCAGCATAATTTTCACTTTGGGAAGAGCATCAGTCATCCAGAGCCTGTTACTGTTCAGTCCTAAGCTGCAAATGCCTTGGAAAAGCCTTTAAAGGTTTTATAGAAGCATTTTTCTTTCCATCCCACCATGGTTGCGTTGTCCCATCACACTTCAGCAGATCTGGCCTGCAAAAGGTGATTAATTAGCCAAGACTGCTACTTGTTCCTCAAAATAATAGCAGCTCACCAAGCACACCTTGGCTGGCATCAGCTCAAGGCAACAACCTTAGCCATGGGAGTGCAAGACCAAGTATTTCTTCCTCATCCAACCCTCTCTGTGTAGTTTCCTCTGAGGAACATCCAGCCTAAGCAAGGGCAAACAGATTTAAACACAGATTTTGYCCTGTGCAGTCTCTTGCTGGTGTAACTTTCTTTCATATGTTAATATCTGTAAATATTCATTTGTATAAACCACTTTGTTAAGAATTGGTGAAATGACTTGAGTTGTAGAATTTGATAAACTCTCTGAAGTCGCTCTATTGACCTTTGTTACTGGAAACTCCATTTGAAATCCTGCTTTGCTCCAGAGACCGAAAAATCCGGCAGGGCAAAATGCTGATGTTCTGAACACTCAACAGCTGTTTTACCAAAACAGCAGGAGCACCAGCTACCTTTTTAGGCCAAACTCTACATTCTCCTGTGAGATTTTTTTTCTTTTTACTGGGACCTCTTCTTCAGAAAAGCCCTTTAAGCCGAGTTTTAGCTCCTTTACAGGTACAGCAGGAGTCTTTTCCAAAGGAAAAAAGCTCATGCAAGTTTGGGCAGGAGCCCAGGGCTGCTGGAGGCCACACACACCGTTTCCTGTTGCTCCCCTTCTAGCACTGCTGTGGGCAGCAGAGTCATCCCTCCTGTCTGGCCTCATTCAAAATCAGCTTCTCCTAGCTCAGGATACTCACGTCTCTCTCACACATATTCAGCCTGGATGTAAGGCACTATTTGGCCTTCCAGTAGGTGCCAGTATCTCCTTTAAAATGAGGTGCTTGCAGTGGGGATCCACGTGCAGCAGAGGGCATGGGCTGGATGGAAACACTGCCTTGGAATCAGTGGTGTTTTAAGCCCATTCCAGGACCTCTTGTGCTCTTCTGCTTTCCTTTGCTGTTACCAAGAAGAAATATCCAAGTTGCAGCACAGGGAGCATATGCAGGATATTAAATCAAGGCTTCACAACACCCCACAGTTGCTTTCAGTGCTACCTCCTGTGTTCTTTAGGGGTGATCTTCAAGAAAGGGTGAAATAGAAGACTGACCACAGCGAGTACAAGCGAAAGCACACGCCACATTAGTCCCATTTGTCAAAGGAGAACAGAGCTCTGATCCCAGAGCTGCTGAGAGGCCATCTCAGTGGCACAACTAGAGCTGCTCTCCTTGTTCCCAGGTAAGAACAGGGATGGGAAATCCTTGAGCAGAGGAATATTTACCCCCTTACCTTCTGGATGCACTGGGGGCGCTTCAGCAGCTGCCCTTGCTGAGGTTGTAGGTGAAGTTCAGCTTGGTGTCTGTAGAAACTCAGGTAGAACAAGGCCACGAGAAGCATCTGTGACAAATTTGGACTTAATACTGATGCTGGGGGCTCTCTAACGAGCTGCACTGTATCACCATGAAACGCACTGCAGGATTAGAAACGATTCCTTCAAGTCTGCTCSCTTGGCCTTTGAGGGCACCACTGCTGTTGTAGGGCATCTTCTGTAATTGTCATTGTCATAAGGAAAATACTACAAGTCAAATACAGAGTCAGAAACCTCTGAAACCAYTTCCACATGGAGACCTAATTCCCTTGCATTCAGATCTCGGCAGCACCATTGGCTTTGGAAACTGCTGCTGCTCYGTACCTGAACAGCAGCAGATGGTCTTTGTTTCTTAATGATTCCGCCCCCYTTTTCTTCCCTGTGCAGTCAAGAATTTTGCTTCCAGGAAGATTTCTCCCAACAGCTGCTCTRCATAGGATCAGCTCACCTTTTCCATCTGTAGTTTTGCAGGAAGGCTTCTCAGCAGTGTCTGCTTGCTGAGGTCTTTCACTCCCACTCCCAAAAGCTCTTTTGAAATACAGAATTTTCACGTAGAGAAAGGTGACAAATCCAAAACCGAGCCAAGAAAGGCAAGTTTGCGAGGGCCTGTGCTCCTTTGCTTTTCCTAAAGCCATTAAACACCTCCTAAGCAAAGTCCAGTAGCAGGATTTGGGTAGAAAAGAGCCTTTGGTTGTGTACAATTCCCACCTAGTTCAGCTTTCCCCAGCTACAGACCACAGGCAGCAACTGAGATAAGGGTGAGGACGACAGGGTCACACAACACGGCTCTCTATCAGCATCAAATCACTCTGATTTTGCTTCCCATCCATCTCCAACAAGAGCCTAGGGGTTCAGCCCAGGTTCTGTGCTGCTCCAAGTAATCCCTTCTCCTCACGTTTTCACCAATCCCAGTGACAGAGAATCCGAGTATATAAATACCATCCATGCAGAAAGCCAGGGTGCCTTCCAGACACCAGCTCCTCCCTGGATTCCCATGTTTCTTGCAACATGCCTCCATTTCCTCATTCCCTGCTGCCACTGCAGGAGTTGAGTGGTAAGTAAAAGGGAAGATCAGCGGAAAACCATGAGAATACTGAGGTGAAGAGCGTGATTATTACTAAAAACCCACTATATTGTGCCTTGCTATAGGAGGAGCTGGCCCACCTGCCTGTGAGGCATCCAGCAGGAGCTCCAGTGGCACCGTCTCCAACCCTCAAGACCAACTCAGTGCTGCCCATAATGTTGTGCCCTGTCCCCCATGGGCAGATGYAACCCCCAGCTCCGGATCCAGCTCCCCTTTTCTCAGGGCTACGAGAAGAAATCGCAGCCTTGCAGGCATCTGCGTGGCTGCTGTGCCTTGCTGCCAGCTGCTGCTTCCCTCTTCCAAAAACAAGGCAAGGGTCCTGATAAACAGCCCCGCGATCTGCAGATTGGCCAGCAGCCTGTGCCAGACTTAGGAAAGTCACATTGGGAGCATCTGTTGCTCCTTTTTCTCCACTCCACCCCTCTCCATTTTCTACTACGTTAGTTAATCGTGGACATTTCAGATCTGATGATGCTCAAGTTGCAGTCTCCTTCCACAAGAATTCCCTGCCACATCCAGCTGTTAAGCCCCAATATCAGCGTAACATGACGAGAAAACAGCCTCTTCCCCATTGGAGAGCTGCAATAGCTCATGGAAAACACTCGGAAAGCGGTACAACCCTCCAGCAGGACACACTGCCCTGCTCTTAGCAAGAGGTCCACCCGAGATCCCTGCAGGATCAGGTTATGGGCCCATAATGGGTCATCTTGGCTCCTACAGCCCTGCTCAGCAGGGCAGCTCAGAGGTTCATGAGCATCCTCAAAGTAACTGCTTTGCACTGCCCAGTGATACCGATGAGTTTCCCAATGCATCCAGAAAACACTTGGAAACACCWCCCATTTTTATGCTAGCGCTAAAGCTATAAATCCAACTGTGCTCCGAGTTGTCAGGGAAAACACAAAGCGCTGGTGCWACCAAGCAAGAGGTCGGACAAGTGATTTCTGCCTTGACAGACACAGGCTCTACAACAAGGTTTAATACTCTGGAATTACACTGGCACCCGCAGAGCTGCTCAGAGCTACCTTGGGGAAAGGTTTTGGAGCAGGAAAAYGACCGTCAATCCTTCTCTTTCCATGCTAACTCAACAACTCCCTCTCTCCCCTAATATTTGTCTTCTATTTCCTTGGCAAAGGGGTTTACACACAACATAGGAGTTACCCAGGAATCCAGGTGGAGGCCAGAGAGGGTCAGGAACATGTCATCGTTCTTCATGGACATTTTCACCATATCCTCAAAGGAAAATGATTAGAGAGGCCTGTGCCCAGCCAGGGCCTCCTTCCTGCCTCTGACAGGACATACCCCTTCCCTTGCACCTCATAAATACCGTGGTAAAAACTACCTTGGCTTTAGTGCCCCAATGAAAGACCTGGAGACTCAATCTGGGGGAAGCAGCAGCTGAACAGAGAAGTTTCCTTCCAAAATGCATAGAAAAGTGCAAGAAAGTCCAGTGTTCCAGCCYGATTTTCTGTTTTCCCAAATCCTCTGCCTCGCTTATCCAGCCCTCATTCCCCAGGGCTGCGCCTGGAGGCAGGAGGGGCCAAGGAATACCCCAAACTGCAGAGAAACAGCAAAATGCAGGAGATCCCGCAGAGCTCTTCTGAGTTCCAGAGATGTGGGACACTGGGCGCTGGGTTCCTCCGAGCCCTGGACACCAGTGTGTGGCCGGCAGACGGGTCACACACCGTGGCCATCCAGCGGGATCCTCCCAGCGCTGCCGCTTACAAGTTCAGCCAAGTGAGGAGGAGCGGGATGCCGAGGACGGAAGCGCTGGGAACGTGCGTGCAGGCAGCGCCCGGGGCCGCGCCGGCACCGCACAGCTCGAACAAACTGCCCGGGAACTTCATCTTCTGCGACTCCCTCCTCAGCACCTCCCAGGCGGCCGCTGCTTCTTTCCGGCATTCCCAGAGCGCGGCCAGGGCGCACACGTGGAATTCATCCCAGTACCTGCAGCCCAGAGAGACACGGAGCCCTTAGCGAAGGGCAGGGATGCAGCGCGACGGTGCTGGGGACAGGAGCCTGCCCGGCCCCTTCCAGGGGGCCCAACCAGGCTCCAAGGGGGACACTGGKGCTCCCTGTCCCATCTGAGAGCCCTGTGCCCGACTCCTGAAATGGGAACCACACAAATGAACTGATTCCACAGCCTCTTCCCAGGTTTTCTCCTTCCCCACTCCCACCTCCCCTGCAGCATCTCGCCCAAAACTCCAAACCCTAAACCAGACCAAAATGATTCACGGCTTTATTATCATGCCTATTTTCAGGGAGTCAATAAAAAAAACTCTTATTCTTCGTCAAGAAGCGGCTCCCTTGAGTAAAACGGGCTGGGAACAAAAGCTGCACGAGGCGCTTCCCGCGAGCCGAGTCAAGGGCAGGAGGCGGCGCGGAGCCGGGAGCAGCGGAGCACAATGGAGCCGCAGGCGGCGCCTTGCGGAACGGGGAGGCTGCGGAGGCCGGGGGAGGCTGCGGAGGCTGCGGCCGCCCCCACCAGCCCAGCCCGCGTCTCCCCGCTCGGGAACCCTGCCTGAGCGGGAGCCGGGAGATGGAGAGAGGCTCTTGAGGAGCGCGTGAAGCGACAACAAAAGGAAGGAAAAAAACCACCCCGCGAGCGGCCTCCCGAAGCAGCCAGGGAGGCTGGGAATTGAAGACACCCCGATTGTCTTCCCTGGGGCTGGGAATCYGTTTCTCCCCCTGTTTGTCCCTCCTAGGGCTAGGAATCTGTTTCCCCCCCAACTCCAGATCCAGAAAGATAAAAGTCCCTGCAGAAACAGGTAGCCGGGTATCCCGACCTGTGAGCTTTATCCCTTCCCGTTGATGAAGGAGCAAGTTGAAGCYGCTTTTGAGCAGTTCCAGGCCCACATCCCAGTCAGAGGTCCTTGCTGAGGACCTGGGGGCCAGGATGAGCAAGGGCAGCCCACGGTGGTGCCCAGGGATGGCTCCGGGGATGCTCAGGCTGTTGGAAGCRCGCGTACGCGGTGGGTAAAAACCCCCAAAGGAAACAAGAGCCCAAGGGGCTTGGAGAGCAGAGCCTGGTCCCSGTCCGCATCGCGGTCGCTGGCCGGGCAGTGCCCTGGTCGGGGTTGGTGGCAGAGGAAGCCRAGCCTGGGGCAGAGCTTTAGCTTTTGTGGTCAAAGCTCCAAAGAGCACCGAGCAACTCGGACCCCGAGACGGCGCCGACATTCCCTCCACGTCGGCTTCCCCACCCATGGAAGGGGCAGCCCCCGGACAGCATCCGCTTGGAAGCCACAGGCCAGGGACCCACGTATCCAACTGCAGAGGAACTTTTTTGTCCCCAAGGGACACCACACATGTGTCCAAGCACAGAGCCCTCCCCAGGAAGGGGGCAGAGAGTTTTCCCAAGCGCCCTGTGCCGGACACACACGCCAGGTCCGGGAGCACCAACAGCAGCACTCGGATGGCCGGGTCCTGCCGGGGCACGCGCAGCATCGYCGGCTGTGAGAGCTCGTTAAACAGAGGCACCGGGGCAGAATAAACCTGATGAGCTAATGAGCGGAGCTGGTGCCAGCCGAGGCGGCCGGCAGCGTCTCCGCCGGGCACGGCTGGAGGGAAGAGGCAGCTGCCGCTCTGGCCCTGCTTCCAGCGGGATCTGCATGGCCCTCCCAGCCTCCACCTGCTCGTGCAGAGGCTCCCCCTTCCTCCTCCCACTGCACGGACCCTCCTGAGCGCCAGGAGCCGGCAGCACCCGGAGCGCCGGTGATGCCGGGTGCTCCCTGTCCCACATCCCGCCACTGAGCGACTCCCGATGCTCCCATCCCATCGGGTGGCACCTTCATGCGCTCTCCTTAGCCTGGGAAGCCTCACACGCACCAGGACGTTTCGTCCTCCTCCTCCTCCAGCTGCTGGGGGTTGAACCTCCCCAAGCAGCCTCTGTTTGTGTCTCCCACCCCTAGTTTCTCTCTGCATTTCCACACACACCCACTGGCCCTTTCTCTCCCCCTAAATCCCTGCTGGGGACGCGCGCAGACACCTCCATTCATCCCASCAAACTTTTCATTCCCTCCCTTTCTGCTGCTGCTCAGGGGCTTTTCCACCATCCCTTTCCCAGACACATCCATCCCTCTTTACCCCTTTCCCCCCCTGCACTGCCTCAGTTTGGGCACCCTCGATGTCCCCCGGTCCCAGCACTCGCCCGCTGCCCTCTCGGGACCCCCATCACCGGCTCACCAAGCACCAAGGGGCCAACTGCAGCCTGAACCCGGCGGGTTTGGCAGGAGGGCAGGGAGGGAGCCGGGTTCGGGCCGCAGGGGCAGGACGGGGCGGCAGTCCCGGCCGGGCCGCACTCACCCGCACACCCGGCGCAGTCCCTGCGGCTCCGCGCGCTCCGTCTCCTCGTACGTGGCCATGTTGTCCCCCAGCTTCAGGACGCACTCGGAGAAGCCCTGGTAAACGTTCCCGCACGCCGCGCCRGCGGCCGGCAGCCCGGCCAGGTGCCCTGTGGGCCACCCAAACAGGGGTCAGCACAAACACTATGGGGGACCAGAGCCCGTGCCCCCAGCAGTGCCCGTGTCACTGTTCATGCAGATGGGCACAAGCCACACGGCACCTGGTATCTGTGCCTGGCTCTGCCTGCGCCCGTGGAGAGCCTAAACCGGCCACTCTGCAAGGGCAGAGGACCAAGCACCCCAATCCCAGTGCCCACCCCCTGGCCCAAGACAAGGGCACAGCAGTGACATGGGAAGGAGGGAGCCTGAAATCCCTAAGCCCAGCCTGGGCATTGCTCCCTAGCTCAGGAACCCCAAATCCCAGCCTGGGTACTGCCCCCTAGAGCATGCACCCCAAAGCCTGGCCCAGGCACCCCAAAGCCCAGGCTCCAGCTCCAGCCGGGACACCSCAAGCCCAGCCCAGACACCCCAAACCCAGCCTGGCACAGGCAGCTCCCTCCAGAGCCGGGCTCCCCAAGCCCGGCCCGGGCTCCGCAACCCGCGTTCCCACCGCCCGGCCCCAGCCCGCGCCGGGGCCGCCTCACCCAGGGCGAGCAGCAGCAGCAGGACCGAGCCCCGCCGCGCTCCGGGTCGCGCTCCGGGTCGCGCTCCGGGTCCCGCTCCGGGTCCCGGTCCCATCTCGGCGGCTCCGCGCGGCTCCAGCCGCAGCGCCGCCCGCCGCCGCGGGGAGAGCGCCCGGCCCCGGTCGCCGCTAATTAATGAGGGGGCTTGGCCGACGCTAATTAATGAGGGGGCCTGGCTGCGCCGAATGAGCGCCCCGGGCCGGCGGCAGCGCCGCGCACCGAGGCGGTCCCGGTCCCGGTCCCGGTCCCGGTCCCGGTCCCACACAGCTGCAGGGGGGTCACAGGGAGCGGGTGCAGGAGGCTCCGGCAGGTGCAGGGACCTGCGGGCTGGCACTGGTCATGGGGCAAGTGCTCCCCGTGTCCCCTGTTCCTGCAGGGCAGGGTGTCCGTGTGGACCTGGTACTGGGGTGGTCAGTACAGGCAAATCCCACGTTTCTCCCTGAAATGAATTTGCTCCTTTTCCCTCTTTCCCAACTCGTGTAGAAACAAAAAAGACTCTGGCTGTGGGGCAGGAAAATGCTGTTTTCTTGGCTTGCTCCAAAGCTTTTGTGGAAGGGCAGGTGCCACCAGGAGCACTCRGTGCCTGCGCTGCCCGCTCGGCTCCTGAACAGCTTAGTCCTCTGGGGCAGTTCAGGGAGGGCGCAGGGATGAGCAATTCCTGAGTGTGGGAATGGTGCAGCCCTGGCATGGCTGCTGCAGCAGGGAAACCTCTGACCAGGGAAAGAAACACCCTGAAAACACACTCTGTAAAAAACACCCTGAAAAGATACCCTGAAAAAATAACACCCTGAGAAGACACCCAGCCAAGAGAGCTGCTGGACCCGTGAGACCGCAGGAGCTCAGCGGGGCCCCGAAGCTGCCCCGGTGCTGGCGGGGCAGGAGAGCCTTGGAGGGGGCTCCCTGGGGTCCCCCCGGCGCCAGCCCGTGGATCCTTCCCGCCATTCCCAGGCTCCCGGAGCCTGTCCGGCTGCCTCGCGGTGCGATCCGAGTGCCATCTGCTGGACTGGCTGCCGCGGGGCCTGGAGTCCGC